AATAATTGCTCTGAGTTGGTTTTTTCCCTTATTATTTCCACATATACATATCTTAGGCGCCGATTTGTTTTTTTTCGAAATTTAAAAATAGTCCGTTTCTTCGCGAGTGTAACCACAATTTTAAATTTTAAATTATCTTTGCAAATAATGCCCATCCTTTCTTTTTCACTGAATGTTTATTGATTTGGAAATGGAATACAACAAAAAAAAAGAACACAACAAATAAACATAAGAGGAGAAACCAATGGCCAATTCCGCATTGACATAGTAATAAAAGCGGATTTCTTTGACAACACATTGACGGTCTTGCACCGAGTCTAGAACCATCGACAATAAGGCATTCCCGCACAACATTCCGAAGATGGACTTCAAACACTCTTGACGATAACACACTGCAAGTCTCTAGAAGAAAATATGATTCCTTTTAAGGCTTGCTTAGACACAATTGCTCTCCAATATGAACCCGAAGAACCAAAGTGAGAAGCTGGTCGCAAACCAAATAACCATCCAGATTCATCTAATCTAAGAACTATGCATAGTACAAACCACATAAACCAAAGAGGGACAGAAATCCTAGCTCAAAGCTCCATCCTCAACAAGAATCAATAATCCTAAAGAGGAGGAGAAACCTGAGCCCAAAGACAGGAATTCAAAGCCTTAAACTGGAAATTGCTAACAAAGATCAAACAAATCTATTGGCAGAGAAATCACACAGGAAAATGATGACAATACAAGCCATGATTAAACCACATAATCAGAAAAGATCTAGCCATACTACCACCTCAACCTGAGGACCTCTTTACTGGAAACCGAGATGGAAACGATAAGGACAGAACCGGATATCGTCGAACCGTTAAAGGAACTACTTCGACAGATCTGGAACTAACTCGCCAAGGTCTTCATCGGTCGCGTCCGGAGACGCCAAAACCACAGACCACAATAGAACCGGCGATTCCAACCAACAAGGACCCAAATCCTGATCGAGATCTGAGATCTCCACCTAAGTCCGAACCGATTTGATCGAGGAGCCATAACCCAAGAAAGGATGCCGAGAACAACCTGATCATTAAAGCAAAGCATAAAAGAAACAAAGGCGGGACGGCAACGGCGCTGTAGAAGCCACCGCGCCGGCCAAGCAAGATCAAGCGACGGGAGAAAGGCGGCTATGTTTTCTTCGGGAGAGAAAAGGGAAAAAAAAAGCCGCTTCATTTTGTTAGATATTATATTATGAAATAATGCCCATCCTCTAATATTAATTTTGTTTTTCTACGTCAGGCTGTTCGGAAATTCGTATAAAATGTTTCTTTTTATGATTTCATATCTTCTGCAGATTTGTTTGGCATAATTTCGGCCCATACGTACATTAAAGGAGAAAAGAAATAGAATAATGCAGGAGCACATG